ACATATATCCCCTTTGTACTGCATAATTCTGTATCATTTTTCATTCGTTTATGTATCATTCTTATTGTCTAAAATATCAATTAACAATATTGCACTATATTCTTTTACAGCAAACCAATGGAGTTGCATTATTATCTGACCACTCAAGGAAGAAGTCGACAATATTGGTGATGCAACGTATCATGGCGAGACAATCGGCCTCGGCCGAATGTTCGTGAGGAAAATTTGAATCAAACATATATTCATAAATGGCGCCGAGTTTAAGGCTGACTGGTCTTTCGCAACCGAAATCCAATTTCTTCCTTGGATTATTTTTTTTAAATGGTCTTTCTACAAGAACAGTCTCATGCTGCCTCATTACTTGATTCTCTGGCGTTTTTTCGTTAGCTTTTTGTCTAAAATCCTCCGGCGATTCGACATCGATGTCATTGTTATACTCCTTGTTTGTATCGTATTTCTTATCGTTTATAACTTTGATATATCCGTTATAGGGAGGCGTCGCTTGCGAAATGGGCATGGCATCAATTTTAGTCTTTTGTTCCATCATTACCACATCTATATCCAACATGGAGAGCGAATCATTGTACTCATCATCCAACAAATCTTGGACTGTCTTTCGTTCCAAATCTTTTTTCTTAAAGAAATCTTGAAACATCTTCCATGTATCAATGCATAGAATTTTGTCATCAAAAACCTTTAATGGCAAAAAATTAATTATTATTGAATAAATAGAGAAATAAATAGCTTTAAAAATCGGTTATACCTTATTTATGCGCTCGAGTTCATTCAAGAATATTGGATAATCGAATCTGTTGCCGTTATGTGCTGCAAAACAAATTGGTGGTGTGAGACGCTGTAGAAAGCACATTATTAACTCATAAACTTCACACTCAAAAGGCTGCAGTAGCAACATGTCCTCGTTAAATAATTCTACAAATTTATGAGAGATTATTATATCATTATATTATAAAATTTTTTTAATTTAGATTCTCTTCAATTTTATTTATGTATTAATCAATTTAAGCTAATAAAGCAACTTACTTGTCATATATGCTACAGTTGGTGGTATGATTTTTTGGGGATTGATCGGAAGTATTAGCTTATGCAAGACTCGCGGCAAAGATGCTTTGTTGCAATTACATATCGACTCTCTTGTAACAGCAACTAAAGCAATTTCCGTGATTCTTGGCATGATCTTTCCTTGAATCAAACCAGTTGTTTCCAAATCAAAGAATATAAATGTTTGAATTTCCATTATTTTAGATATTGACTTAATGGATTCTCTTCTTCATATCTTCTCTGCATTATCTCCTCATTATTTGATATGATGATTTCTATAAACTATCTCCAACAATGACATGCAATTATTGCAATTTTAATCGTAATAAAAGTAATGGGACAATTTTAATTTTTAAAAATTGTGGTTTTACTTACCATAAAGCGTCGAATAAACACGTTTATATTAATCTTTGATGAAATCTAATTGTACTTAAACAATTCATTTAACATCACTTGTAAAAAATCTCGTGGAATCAAATTTCCACGTGATGATACAACAATATTACAACATCGTAAGATCACGTAAGTTCTATTTCTGTTCTAATTAAACTCTCTGTACTTTTCATTTTTCATCTTTACTTCTCTCTCTTTCCAACATTAAAAATTATGTACTATGTATATACCTTTATTTTATTTTGAAGAAATAAATCATAAGAAGCCATTAAACACTTCGAAACAAAAAGAAATACCAACTTACAACTTTACCATAAGAGCAAAAGATAGATTGGTGCGATTGAATACAACCTATCGACTGGTGTCTAGGGTAATCAACGCGATTGACCAATCAAAGAGCCTTATTTTCAACTGGCCAATAAGTATTTTGTCCAATTGATATACACATTTGGATTGGTCGTTACAGTTTCGAACAAAAAAGTATGTAGACTGCAAGAGGTTATATGATATGCACACTTTTATTATTATATATGTATGAAAGTAAAGAATTTGTAATAAGTAAATAGATAGAGGATGTCGATAAACGATAGCCGTCTACACACGGTGAATGACATATTTAACAGAATGTCCAAGGATTTCGTAACTGTCGATGGCAACGTGAAGAAGATTCAAAAAGAGAATCTAACATCGTACAAAGTAGCAACTGTTATTTTAATTAAAGTTTATTGTAATGAAACTACTAAAGGTATATTTCATGCTTTCGTATTTTTATCATAATTGAACTATATAATATTTTTATACACGCTAATAAGTATGCCGATAAATCTAATTTGATAATATTTTGTAGCAATTGTGGAGAGACGCGATTTTTGTTTAGCGTCGTTGAAGCTAATTCAGGTAATCATTTTATTATACAAATGCCAAGAAGAACAGATCTCTTTCATATCACATCTATTCTTATTTCATATATTAATGTTTATTTTCAGTCAGCAGACTTGGAATTGACTCCTCTGTTGGACATGTTGTACGAACCAGAATATGCTTTACATCGGTTTGCAGATCAGCTGGAAGTAGAGCTGGATGTCTTGTATGAGAAAGGAGTGGATGGACTATTAGATCTGTTTGATAGTCTTCGCCGATTAATGGAACCCAAGGATCATTCGCTTTCTTTACCAGCATTGAACAGGAATTCTGTTCTTGGGCTGTACGTTCGTAGGATGCTTATCTTTTTCGAGAAATTGGCCTTTGATCAAGTAGTTATTCTTTATAATGATCTAAAAAAATACATTGAGAGAAAAATCAGTAATCCAGAAAACTCTGATATCTCTGTAATCTCTAAACAAGAAGATTCTGGTCCACATAAGTAAGTTTATATACCAAGAAAATTATAACTACTAGATTACATTACATTGTATTATATTATATATTACATTATATTACATACATTAGATTAAACAAGGTGTACCAGCTGTTTTGTGAATTAACAATGATGCTTTTTTAATAGAGTAAAAACCATTTGGGGTGGAAGACAGGCTGAATTACTCGTAGCACAGCAAGCGCATGCATTACAAACTGACGAGCATAAAGCTCTGCCACCAGTAGATCTGCAGGCTCTTGTTCAAGACCTTTTGAAGTCTACTCCCTATAATGCGGATGCGGTGAGTGTAAATGCGATATCCGCGGAATCAATATAAACGAAATAAGCATTCTTTTCCTTGTGTTTAAATTAATATAATAATTAAACCAAAATTGTTCTTTTGTTTTAGCATTATTTGAGTTACTTAAATTGCATTCGCGTGAGTGACTTTTGCGGAGCGGTGGACAGTCTATATCATTGTTTTGATAGACTGGCACCTTTGGAGAATCGATCCACACCCGAAGATCGATCTCGTACATTTCGATATGCAGCGCTCAACCTAGCCGTCTTACATGCCCAGTTTCACCACAAGTAATAAATTAATCCATTTATATTTTCAAGAGTCTAACTTTTTATTTCTTTATTAACAAAAGAAATATATGGTTTCTCTATCATTTATTTTACATATAGTATTATATTTGTTTCACAATCAAGTAATACTCGCGGCTTTCTTGGAAAGGGAAATAGCACAATACGCTTTAAAGGAAGCTATCACATTAGCTCAGGAAGCTGGAGACAACGTGTGCTTGCAGCTCGCGCTTTCTTGGATGACCTACTTGACCAACGAAGATAATAAGTAAGTTGAAAAAGAGAAATTTCTCACTTTTTATCTCAAATATTTTAGAACATAATTTTTTTTTTTGTAGTCTATAATCTATTATTAATAAACTTTTTTTACTAATTTTCTTAATCATTCGTTTATTAATAATAGATTAATAATAGATCAAGATCTTAGTGTTACAGATAGATTTTTTATTTTACTTTTATATTATATATTCATATATGCATCTTTCCATTATTTAGAGGACCTCTCATAGAACGCTCGGTCGGCAAAGCGAGTTTGCTTGGAATTACACATACGACAGGCTTAAGCCTCATTTCGCACGCACATAATTATACCCTGCAGGCCAAGAATCCTTCACAAATATTCGAGGTATGTAACTAGTCGAGAATAATTTGTATCCCCGACATATACGCGCAGATTTATACATTCATAATTAATTTATTGCAGATATTGATGAAGTCGGACATGTTAAATTGCCAACATTCAATGTCCGACTTAATGTCCATTACATTTGCGGAGAAATCCGCATTGTGGGCGTACTATGGTAAAATGGAAATGGCTTCTCTTTGCGGCCAGTTGTTGCTTCTCCATAATACGGGTGATAAAAAGCAGCACATGTTCAATGGGCCATCCACATGCCAGGCGATTGTCACTGTCGCCAATATGTTGATCGAACTGGGCGAATATATTATCGCGGATATTGTGCTAACTCATGCCAAGAAGAGATTTCCCAACAATCCTTGCAACAAAGTACGTTCTTTAATAGATAAGATATATTGCAGAAAAATTACATAGAGAGGAATAACTTTGTTTTAATAAAAATATCGAGACACAAAATATAATTTTTGAATTTTAAGAAATTGAAAATGAAAGATTTTTTTTTTTATTATATTTTAGATATGGATGCTGAGCGAACAGTTGCATATGTTTACACAATTAATGAGGCAAGAGAAATGGAGCGAGGCGGAGGCAACAGCCAGAAGTATTTCCAGTTTAGATAAATTGGAATGTAATCTCAAGTATATAAAGAATTTATTTTATAAATGCGCGTTTTTTGCACTTATACGAAATCGTACAAGTTTTAATCTTATAATTTTCAGATTGGCGGAAGTTTGCTTGGCAAAAGGCGATTTTCCAAAAGGGCTTGAGTACATTAGCATTATCATGAAGGATGCAGATGTGACTCCATTGTATATAATACGTGCAACACTTCTCTTCAGCCAGATTATGTGCGCTTCGTCCTCACCAGGCAATGGATCAGCGGTCGCCACTAATTGCATAGTACGTCTTTGTTCTGCCTTGGAATTAGCCACAAGAAATCATCTGTCGTACTACAAAGCACTTGTCAAGATGCATCTCGCTAACACACAAGTGAGTTTTCTCTATTAAAGATTAAATTAAATTAATCGAATTGAATCGAATTTATTGTTATTTGTAATTATTCCAGTTGTTGATGGACTTACCCACATTAGCCTTGAATCTAGTGGAGGACGCTATCCCCACAATCCTAGGTCATGGTGGTTGTTATGATCAAGGTAAAGCATTTATGTTGTACGGCAAGTGTTTGATAGCTTCGGCGCCGGAGAATCCTTCTGAAGCGCGGAAGGAGGTCATTTTAACCGGGATAAAAGCTCTGTCAAAGGCGCAGGCACTCTTCACCAAGGTCAACGCCATCGCGAAGGTCAAGAGCTCTTTGCATCTGCAAGCTGTCTTTTATAATGAAGTCGATCTTCTGCTTGAACGTAATCGATGCGCCTTCGAGTTTCGTCAACTGGGCGAACAATACCTAATGGCTTCTACCAATCCGTTTGTGTATTAAAATTTATAAGAGACTGTTCTTTTTTACATAAAAATACAGAAAAAAAACAAAGATATAAAGTGCTTCTTTGCAAAAAGGAAAATTTTCCTTCTCTCTTTTTTTTATTATTCACATTTTCGCAATTCACATTCTCATTCATGTATTTATTTATTGCCTCATATATATCGATTGACCATATATTCATGGAATGAAAATGATCAGCGGGAGAAAGAGAGGGAGAGACTTACTAAAAATCATCATGAACACGCGTGGATATGATTGCGCGCGCAACAAAATCTTCATTCTGCGCATGTGCTATTAAATTATGAATGAAGACCGAAAGAAAATTGAGAATATAAAATTTGCTCAGTTTCAATTATTTGAGATTAAATATTTTGAAGATAGATATAATATTTTTTATACGCGCATCTCAAATCATATACTGTCTCCCTTTTTCAGAAAAAGATGAGATTAATCGGCTGCCGCATCGTTTCTCGACACACCTGTCCTCTCTCTCTCTCTCTCTCTCTCTCTTTGTGTGTGTGTGTGTGTGTGTGTGTGAGTGTGTAAGAGAGAGAGCCATTTAGATTACGAAGGCTACGAAAAATGCGCCGATTGTAGCGCGTAATGGCACGGAGCAGAACAGCTGATTCCTTAACGTTAACGCAGCGGGGATTGAAGTACGGTCGTCGTCGTCTCAACGTTCTGCCATATCGGATCGCGAACGAGCATCGTATCTCGTACACGACGGCCACAGTTCGCGTATATAAAGAAATATAATATTGGCTCTCGTATACACGGACATTCGATATCGCGAACTAACAAATAAACGCTCCACGCGATTCCATTTAAAGCCAAGCTCAATTGTTTCCCGGGGATTATGGCCAGTCCGGTGGTCGGCACCGGATATAACTTTAAAGTTGTTTTACTTGGCGAGGGATGTGTCGGCAAGACCTCGGTCGCTCTTCGATACGTCGAGGACAAGTTCAATGACAAACACATTACTACGCTACAGGTAAATCGCGTATTTGTGTATCGGAATTCGATATAATTTGCGGATCTTATTTTTCTGCTCGTTTTTACCTCAATTCTAATATAATATACATAACGTGAATATTTTTTAGATTCGGTTTTATATAAGTTTAATTATATGTGTAATTTCTCTTTTTGTTTTTAAATATAAATCGGAAAAAATTTGGAAAATTTTTTTCAATAAAATACAAGTTTTTTAGATAAATATTATGTAAATATATGGAAAAAGAAGAAGCCATATAGATGTGTATAATGATTAAAATCTAATTTGCATGCATCCATTTGCGTTCTCTAAACCTGTATTATAAAAAACTTTCTTATAATGTCTTAAATGCTGAGCTTTTATTAACTAAATGTGTGATTGTAAAGTTTATATCATTTAAAAATAGATATCAACGTTGTATTTTGTTTCAGGCATCATTTTTGAATAAGAAATTAAATATCAATGGGAAAAGAGTTAATCTGGCGATATGGGATACAGCGGGACAAGAGAAGTTTCATGCGTTAGGACCAATTTACTACAGAATGTCCAATGGTGCCATTCTTGTTTATGATATTACGGACGAAGACACTTTTCAAAAAGTATGACTTGAGATTCAATTGCAATTGTAGAAGATAATCCAAAATATCTTATCAGATTATTCTAAATATGGAATAATTTGATAAGAGAACAATAAATATATCATCAATAAATTTTAAATACATTATCAATGTTCTGCTCTCTAGAAATTTGTCATATTAAAAATACTTTTGTAATATAATTTATTTATTTATTATTTATGTTATTTTTAGGTGAAAAACTGGGTGAAGGAACTCAAAAAAATGTTAGGTAGTGAAATTTGTTTAGTGATAGCAGGTAATAAAGTCGACCTGGAGAAAGATAGAAATGTTGCCATAGACGAAGCAGAAGAGTAAGTGCGACAATGTTTTTTTTCTTTCTTTACCAGGAATAATGGACGAATACAGAACGTGACAATGATAAATATCCTTCATCAGGTATGCCAAACAGGTGGGAGCTATGCATTTCCACACGTCAGCTAAGTTAAACCAGAACATTGAAGAGATGTTCTTAGATCTAACGCGACGTATGATGGAACGCGCGGATGAGGCTGAGCAAAAATCTACTCTCACGAGGAACAATAGCACACGCCGCAATGTTGTAATGGTAGAGGACGAAAGCGAACACACGCAACCGAGTAGAGGTTCCTGTTGTGGCAGTGGTGGCGGTGGCAGCGGTCTTTCGTAGATCTTTGAACGATTTACATTCAGTTTCAGACAAGGTCTAATTTCTAATCCACGAGTTATATATACGGGACGAAGCATTTTAAAAAGCCGTGACAGATTAGTATCTCCAAAAGTAAATTCTCTGTGATAATAATTTGTCACATTACGAATGTTTCATTTTTTATATGCTTGCCTATGCATTATGTATGTGTGAATACGTATGTATGCCAATATATATATACACATATTTGCGAGAAATATCTGTATATATCCATGAATAGCCAATTGGCTAAAAATTAGCTAATTTCAAGACAAAGACTTTAGATGATGCGGCCGTAATGTGAATCGAGAACATTTTTAAAGAAAACTAAGAAAGACACTTTTTCAGCTTTTATCTAAAATAATATTTTAGGGTTTAATGTACATACATATTAAATATCGATAATTTTGTTGTACAATATATTAATTTGAATTGTTTATCCAGTATCATTGCAATACGTTAATTCGTCTGAAATTATATAAATTAGCAATATAATAGAGTTGTTGAGTGTAAAGTTTAAATTATTGTTACTGTAAGTTATTTTATGAACATAAAATGGTAAGTTGTAATAATGTTATGGAAAGAAATGTCTCATTTAACATTATACCATAATCCCATCATGCTCCTAAAATACAATTTGGATTTTGCTTGTGAATGTTGTATGTAAAAAGTGAAACTGAAGATCTACAAATTAACATGCTTTATTACATGCTTTTTTATTGACAACAACGAGGAATGTAATCGAGTCACATCAGTTCTATACAGGTCTGGGTTAGTCTTTTCGATGATAGAGAGCAGAGATATTAGGCTCTGTCGGCCTATACTTTATCCCAGTTACCCATAATGGCAGGACTATTTAAAGGGATATACAAATTTGCGGTTCGCTCCGCAAAAACTGCTAAGTCTTTTATCTTTACATTTAAATGATGGACAAAATTAATTAAAAAATATTAAACTATACATGACATTCATTACATGCCAAGCTTTTTTCTCTTTTTCATTCACTCACTTTCTCTCTCTCTCTCTCTTTCGTTTTTTTGTAAAAACGATCATGTGATATTATCAGGTCAGGCGAATTTTCTTTTCCCGAGATCATAATTTAAAAAAAAATATCGTAAGATCGCTAGAATTTATACATGATGACTGAGTTACCACAACAGCCATTCTAATCACTTTATCATGCTCACGCTTGCTTTTTAATATTATGTTAACTCTAAACAGTATAAAGTATTTTACTTATAACTACTATATATATATAAAGAATGTCACAAAAGATGGAATGAACGGTTTAAAACAGAAAATATAATTTAATCTTTCTCTAATACTATCAGAGTGTTCTGTTACTTTTACAAAGCAAATAAATGCTCGTTTTAATTGTTTAGAGTTAACACAATGTCTTTCTATATTTATACATGTATAAATCTTCCTGTATTACAGTATATCTCGCCTTTCTCGAATTAAATACAATATTATATATACTACACTTGTTAAACTACAATTTATTTTATGTGATTGAATAATCAATTTTTTCGATATATACATAATGCGAAGAAAATGCCAAGTATTAAAGAGATTCATTACTTTATGATTCTTCTATTTTGTACCAAAACATTTTAGAAAAACTTTTTTTTATGAAACTTTGCAATGAAAATAAGCAACAGAAGCTGGTTGTGTGATATGCAAATATGTACATACTTTTATTAGAATAAAAAAATTAAATCGATTTAATTTAAATTTTTTAATTGACAAAATAAGAATAACATTAAAATAGAAACAACTTGATAAAGTTCGAAAAATTATAGATCGAAGAAATAATTAATATAAGTTACCTTAAAATAGATAATTAATTTATTATTTAAAAATTTTATTTAATTAAAAAAAAGATTAATTAAAGCAAAAGTCGGGACGAATCACGGTCCATGATCTCATGATTTCAGCGGCATTCAGCCGAATACTTTTTCGATTCTTGAATATATTATTTTCTACGCTTTGTTAAATAAGACTAAACGCTATATTTCTAAATAATCTTACATATTATATTTACTGCGTGACGTTCTCATATATCTTTGGTATTTGGTCGTAATTTTTCTCTAGATATACACACAAGTTGGCTGGCGTTCTAACATCGCACAACCGACATCCATTCGAACGTTTTATTCTTTCGTTCGGAAACATAATGTAACTACTCATATTAAAAAATCTTGTGCAAAATTGCGTGTAAATGAATATTAAGTTGTTTTCCTGTATGTATTCTCTTATACCTCACGTCGGATATAAAAATATTTCAGTAAAACAAAAGTAGTGCGGACGTTGTACGCGTGATGTGAACAATTGAATGTATTATAATTAGGCCCTTGACGCTTTTAAATAATGAAAATCTTATCTTGATAAGTAAATAAAAAGTCTACGAATTGATTGATGAATCCTATTGCAGTGAGGGACATTCCACATGCTGGTGGTGCTCTAACTAGATTCGGTCCAAATACGACCGCCAGATTGCTAGAAGTCATCTTATTTAGGTCGCATCGGTCCATTACCTATTATAAAAAAAAAAGATATGGGTCAAAAAGAGATTTTATCTTGCTTTTACAGAAATTGTAAATATTAGCTACTTACCCTCGATAAGAACTGTACAATGTATTTAAGGACTTGGTAGTTATCCTCAGGTAGTTTTTCCAATATTAATATCTTAACTTTACGCGGACGTTCGTCTTTCGATAACGCTTCAAAACAAATTCAAAAGATGCTTTATCTCGTTAAATAAATAATAATATCGTTAAAAAAGAGAAGGAAAACATCATGCTTACTTTGAAATTGCGTGATTTCATCATATAGTTCATAGGTCATAAGAGGTTCGTCTAGCTCGCGAAGGAAGGTCTTGAGTAGAACCGCAGCAATGTGCGGATCCCCTTGAAAATCGACGGGTAAACCTTGATTGCAACGATTTTGAAGTTCTTTGATCACCGCTACGTTGGCCGATCTTCTAAATATGCCTTCTGTTTCCAGTGCTAAAACAATGATCAAACGATTATCGTTTTACTCTCCACAGAAGACGGTTTTTTATCGAAATATCGTACCGTCTGGTGTATCGAGAAATTCCACGCACTGCCTTAGAATAGGTGGTATCGGATCGCCGTTATTATTTTCCTTTATAAATTGCAAACTAGCACCGAACTGAGTCGTGCCAACCGGTGTAACTACTGTGCTTTGTGGCGGACTTGCCGGCAAATACTTTTTATTCTTTATCAGTAGTTGATTATTATGTCTGAAAAAATCATTCCACATGTAAATTGAATTGTGATCGCGTCAATCAACGTAAATTCTATCATGATGCCAACATACTGTTTTGTATAACAGTACAATTAAATTACATACTCTATTACTTGGGGAGGTATAATTAATTGATCCAACTTAATATAGTGTGCTAAATCTTCCAGATAATTAACATACATCATTTTTCGTCCAAATTTGACACTGCAAAAATATAATTCGCCTATTCATACATAGTATATAATAATACAAAGTGTTACATAGAAAAGAAAAAATTGCATACCTAATAGCCGGTTTAAATATTTGCCACACAAACCTAATAAAGTTTGTGGGATGTACTAGGTAAAGGGCTTTGAGATTTTTTTTATATTTTCTGTCAAATGCTTTATACGCTTGCCATAGCCAAGATAAAGGTGGCTTATTTTTTGACGTAAGGCCATAATGAAAGTAAACGAGACTATAATCTTGTTCCACGAATGTGTCTAAAGTATGCGTAAGATACCTGCAACAAAAATATCCATTATGATAAAATCTATTTTATTAATAATTAAAAAGAAAAAAAAAATACATTATCAAAATCGAGAAAGTGAATAGGGACTTTATAAGTGATTCATTAACAATATCACAGAATGACATGGAGATCCTTAAATAATATTTACAGGCAATTATAAATCATTATTCGCGGATCGGATAAATATCTCGCGTGACGTCCTACATACGCATATCGCGGACTCACCTAAGAAATTTAGCGTGATTGAAGACCTCCTTTCCTATGGAAGGCAATTTGCAGGCTGACACAACAATTACTTTGCGACCGGCACTGTCATCGCCAACTACTTCCACAATACCATGTTTAGATATGTCGAAATAATCCTCCTCGTCGGCGAGCTCTCCGTCCAAAGCAGCTAGATCTTCCGCTGTCCATTAACAAAGACTTTCCATGTAATATAAATTTCAGAATCGACACACATTTCAGGCATACTCATAATAAATTTATTTCAACTAAAAACCATCGAGTCAAAATAATTCGAGCCCCTTAGGAATAATTTTTGTCTCATAAAAGAAACGTATATTCCATGGACAATATACCACTATCCTGCTTCATGAGGCTCGAACGTAACGCTTGCATTGTGCATTGTGCATTATGTTATTATGCAAAATGGATTAAAAAAGCGTAACAGTTGTTACTTTTCCTCTGTCATCTTTACACCATGCAATATAAAACAAGCTGTACAATGTTCTACACATAATTCACCTGCTATGCCCTGAGAATGCCATGACATTTAGTCGCTATTAACAGAAGGTAAAAGGTCACACACCGGATTCGATAACTGGAGCATCTACCAAAGCTTCCTCAAAGTTTTCCTCAATCGTCCCGTCGCTTACTGGGCTTTCCAAATAATCCATTCCTGCAGTACCAACTGTGCTGTTCACCAAATCCAATTTGTCTTCTAGAAGGCGTGCAGCTGTAAAAACAAAGTCAATTTTATGTAAAAAAAATAATGCAATAATAGCTGTATCGCACAAATTAATCTCTCATATAATTATATAATTATGAGAAAATTTTGAAAATGAAAGAAGAGAGCAGCTATTCAAATTGTCAAAAACAAAACTCATATACATCTTAAGACAGATTAGATATCTCACCATTGTTTGAAGTAGTTTGCAATTCTGTATCATCAAATTCCAAATTCGGCTCGTAATCGTGATAATCTGACAGACTAGGGTAAGGATCTTCACAGTCGTTGCCTATCCCTGTTGACATACAGGTATATATCAAGGTAAATCTCTCGAGACAGTAAATAAATAATAATAAAAAAAAATTAGCAAGTCGATGATACTTTTATATATTTATGCAAAAAATATCTTGGAAAATGACCGACTCAATCTTGTTCTACATTTAACAACGAACTCTGCTGCTTGCAGAGAATTTGCAGAAGCTTTTCGTTTGCTAAATATTACGATGCTAAATATGACGACTCTCAACTATAAAAGGGAACGATACAAGGCGTCGACAATAAAAAGAACGGCAATAATACGTATGATTTTGATGTAAATCTAATAATTGACGTCGCAGACGAGTAACGTTCATTTGACACAAATATCGTCAACAATCGCAACTACCGCACGCCAGCTCACCTGTCAGCGTCCGCGACGGGCTCAGTGGCGTCGGCTGATAATCCGCTTCCATTTTTCGGTCCGGCGTCGATACGTACATACGAAACGCAGTCCCGGTGTCGGTGTTAATTTCTTTTCTTCTACAAATGATCCGAGATCTTCTCAAGCGACCGCATTATCTCTTCCTCGCGAGACGTGTGGCAGAACAACGCGCGCTACGGATCACGTCACGCTTTCATCTGTCGCTGTTGTTGCGCTGCAGTTGTGCGAAGTTGTGCGAGGTTGCAGGTATCGATATCCTCTTTTGAACCTAGAGTACGTATTCGATATATCGTTATTCCCCAGGCAGAGCAATATTATTTATAAAAAATGTACAAAATATTTATAAGTATTTGAATATTTTATAAATATTTATTAGAATATTTTATAAATACTTTTGTGATCTTTGATTTAACAGATGAAATACTTCGACGAGTCATTTCGAATATTAGCGGGTATATTAAATTACAGTGATCTGTCAAAATATCTGTATTAACGATGAATGTTTACGCTCGATTCTTTGTGGAATAAAGTCTGCATATATCTGTGTATGTTCAACGAGCACGCTGGATTTGCTTTTCCCAGACAGCCCATAATATTTATAAAATATGTACAAAATATTTATAATAATTATTTGAATATTTTATAAATATTTTTGTGGTCTTAAATTTATTAAAACAGATCATAAATATTTATCATAAATATTTATTTTTTACTTATTATAATGATACAAAATATTTAGTTTATATTTTAATAATATATCAAATTTAAAGTTTTTATGATTTCTTCTCTTAATATGTATACAAAATGTATAAAATATTTATATAATATTTCAAAAAATAAATAGTAAAAAATATTTATGAATATTTATCATAAATATTGTGTGTTGTCTATAGGTCGTGAGAGGATCTTAGAAAAAAAAGAATATCTTTTATTAAAAAAATTGCTGAGAAAGTGAAATGCGTTTGACATTTACAGAGAAACGCGAAGTTCCTTAATAAAGATATAAAAGAGAAAATTAAATTTAAGAAAATCAAAACATATTTGAAATATATACATTTTATATGATTTTAATATCAAGGAAAATCCTTGCGAAGGCCAATTCCCCCTTTTCCCCCTCCATAAAAAATATTTTGACATATGAAACTTTTGACATATGAAACTTTTTTTATATATATACGCGATTTATTTTAACTCCTATAAATTCCTCTCGGGTTTAATCGAATTGTGTGTGATCCACGCGAAAATAACACGATCGATAAGCGATGCAAGCGCGTCATCGTTCCCCACGTATGATTCTCCGCGAGCATTCAACTGTATACTCGTTTCAGCATCGCTCAAAGATGAGCGATCCGGCTCGTAATCGTCAGTATCGCGCGATCGCTGTTTACTACCGCTTTGAGAGTCTGTGAATCGCACGAGTTATTTTATGTAGCGTATAAATAGAGATCATATGATCGAGAGTAGCCAAGAGACGCGATTTTGCCTTGCGGGAACGAGAGCGATGTTGATCGTAACGTATAAGTGAGTGTCCGTCCCCCTCTGAAGTCGAGTCAACCGAGAAAACGAAGGAGAGGAGCTTGAATCCTTACGTTATCGCGAGCACACCAACTGACACGTGAATGGATTGTCATCTGCCTCGCGTACCGATCTTGCCACAGACGTGAGACACATATCATGGCGAGCTCGAGCGAAAACATTACTTGCGGTGGCTTCGTGTTTTTCAACAACTTTGACTCGGCCAATCTGGCTAAAGTGGAACAAGTGAGAATACCAGAGACTTCTGATAAAGGTAATGAAATTACCTAATTTGACGTTTCATCGATCTAGATTGATTTTGTTCGCATTTTGATATAAATAAAACAAGCGTATTGTCCAGGAGAACGTTTGTTTTTCTTGTAAATGACTAATTGATTAAAGATTGATCTCTTACTATGTGTAAATTTAACTGTCCATTGTTATAGATTGTATAACACCGCAAATGTACTTCTTATGTAACAACGCAATAACTTTACTATTTTTAGATGTTTACGAAATTGAAAGTAAATTGACCAATAACTCGAATTCTAAGGAGATATCGGATTATGAATTTAATATATGGACGAAGCACGATTGTCATGGTACACAATTTCAAAACAACAATAGGACTTGGTTCTATTTCGGAGTCAGATCTAATTGTCCAAGTGTCTCGGTCAGGTTTAACATAGTCAACTTGAACAAGCAAGTCAAGATGTTTAGTCAGGGAATGTGTCCAGTTTTTAAAATTGTACCAGGACATTTACATTGGGAGCGAATTCGTGAAAGACCTACATACACTGTAATTATACTATATATAATTATAGGAATGCACATATCTAAGAATGTAGCAAGATCATAAACATATGTATAATAATTATTTAGCGCACAGTTATATATAGCATACTATTTTTATAACATTGCAGCTTGATCAGAGAGGAAATGACTTTACTTTATCCTTCCTCTATTACACTCCAGAAAATTCAAAAGCTGTTACTTACTTTGCTTTTACCTATCCATTCTCATATACAGATTTACAAAATTATTTGAAAAGGATTGATGCAAGAATGGGTAAACGGAGTGTAATGTGTACAGATGATATCTATTATCACAGAGAATGTGCAATAAAATCTTTGGAGGATCGTAGACTAGATGTATTAACAATAAGCTCTTATCATAACATATCAATGGAGAGAGAAGATAGACTGATTAATATGTTTCCTGAAAAGAATGAGGAGAGGCCTTACAAATTTCGAGACAAAAAGGTACACTATTTGTACTACGTTTATTAAATGTAAAAAATGCATATTTTCAGCAAAAAATATATCTACATAATTATGTGCATTTAGGTAATTTTTATTAGTGCCAGAGTCCACCCAGGTGAAACACCGTCTAGCTTTGTTCTGAACGGTTTTCTCAATTTTTTGTTAAATCGCGACGATCAGATTGCCATAAATTTACGTCGCCTATATGTGTTCAAATTAATACCAATGCTCAATCCAGATGGTGTCGCTAAAGGTCATTATCGCATGGACACTAAGGGAGTAAATCTGAATAGGGTTTATTTAAATCCTTCTGAAGTAGATCATCCAACAATATATGCTGCAAGAAATTTAATAAGGTAAACACTCTTATCTCTGATTAAATTATTTAGAGTACACAATACAATTTTTTTACATACTTTTTTTTTTAGATATTATCATAATTTTTATCAAGTACCAAGCGATTTAATCGACGATCTATCAGATATAAATTTAGAAATTGTAGACAGCAAACTAAGCATTATAAATTCAACTGCTTCAATAGCAAACGCTGTACGTGATACAACTACAAGACTGTTGCAACAAGTATGATCAAAACAATATTTCTTTATATTGCAAATAAATTTGTGCAGAAAATTTCAAAAAGTGAATGTTAACAATATATTTTATATTACATCAAGTTCTGCAGTATTACACTTTTAACATTATTATTGTTCGACAGGTAACATTTATGTCATTGGACGAAAATAGATGCGCTCAGGAAACTAATGAGAAACGTTTATTGACATTGGAAAATTTGGACAGTGCAATTATTGGTATTGATATTTACTTTGTATGATGGAATCTCATCATATCTAATTTCTGATTAGCTTATCGTGTACACAGATGAGAGGGATGAATTATCTAAAGAAAATGGTAAGAATGATAACATCGCGGAAGATAGAACAAATGACAAAGTAACTTATACAGCCGTCGGTATGGGCGAAGTATCGAAGTCTTCGGATAATTCCGGACTGTATTTATACATCGATCTACATGGTCACGCTTCGAAGAAAGGCGTATTCATGTACGGAAATCACTTTGCCGATCCGGAGGATACTATTACATGTATGCTGTTACCTAAATTGATGTCCATTAACAATCCAAACTTTCATTTTACATCCTGCAATTTTGCAGAGCGAAATATGTACATTATGTGAGTATATTTTTATTGCTAGAATTGATGTAGATGTTTTTATATTATCAAAATATTAAATACACATGGCTTGCATAGAGACAAACGAGACGGCATGTCGAGAGAAGGTTCGGGACGCGTAGCAGTTTACAAGACGACTGACCTAATACGTAGTTATACTCTAGAATGCAATTATAATTCTGGTCGTTTGGTGAATACAATACCAGCTAGAGTTCGCGATGGGATAAACAAAACTATGAATCACATATTTGTTCCTCCGAAATATACCCCAACAGTGTTCGAAGCGGTAAAAAATCCATCTTATTTTCGCCTTATTCGATCACATTCGCATAACAACAGGCATATTGCTAAAACATTAATAATACACACAGGTTGGAGCAGCGTTAGGTCCATCCATTCTTGATCTCACTGGAAGCAATCCCAACAGCCGATTGCCAAATAGCCAATATCGTTCTCTAAGAGGAGTAAAATCTCATTTGAAATTAGCATATGTGAACAATCTATCCTCACCACCCAACAGATCGATGCGTAAGGTAAATTTTGATGTAAATAGCGGGAGTGACGTTTGCAGTGCTGACATAAAGCAGTGTATAGTATCATAATCACTTATTCTGTTCAACGACTAACTTGGTATGCTGTTTACACTACAACACATTAGTGCCTGATCGAACGTAAATTTATTTGTATATAACTAAGAAAGTGGGAGAGAGATTTTATATATCTTAAATCGCGATATATCGCGAATTTTTATGTGCATATTTTGAATTGTATTGAAATCTGTACTGAAATTTATACAAAAACGATTTCGTATTTTATATAATTATATATATTATAATCAGTATTTTTTATATAATTATATATAATTGAAGAACATTTTCGGACAATAATATAGATATTTATTATGTTATTTATATGAGAAAAATACATATTGTAAAGATCTTATTTTTATATTCTTCTGAATGAGTCTTCCACAACTTTGATTTATATATAGACAAGACAATAATGTCCCATATATTTTTTAAAATAAATTTACGCATTAAGCTTCTGTCTCAATTAATTATTTTGTGAAACAAAATAATATAATATTTAATATTTATACATATATAATTTCACTGTATTGATTGATTGATACTGATTTAGTTGATATTTATATACATACACGATATATAACGCACAAATTAGTTTTTTTAAATGAGGATGAAAATTAAATTGATAGTTCAGAGAAATACAGGTGAGATGGATAAGTAATATTTTGCACTGGTGATTCATTTTACATTGTGACTAATTCAGCAAAGTCATCAATCATACACGCTTTAATGCTTCAATAATCATATCTGACATTAATATAATACTTGTTGGTAAATAATCAATTTTTATGCACTATATTTTTCACGCCGAATATATAAAAGTGCACTTATAGTCACGTCATTTAATTTATGCAGTGGTAAAATGAAGAAAAATTAATCTGTGTGAGTTGTTAAAACAATGTGTTAATACTACACACACACACACACACACACACACACATGTAATTAATTATATCTATTTCTTTAGCGAAGGGCACAGCGTGAAGATATAAGTGGTTGAACCATTATATCTTTGGATGATGGAATTGTTGGGATATGACAACTTGTTAATTAAAATTTAATCGTGTTAATTATTTTAACAATATATATATATAATTTTGTGTGTATATATATATATATATATATATATATTCTTGTAAAAAATAAATATACTAGAATGAATCAAGTTGAAAGAATTTTGAGAACTTTGCGATATCAATTTTTATTTTAATATACTCATTATGAATTAATCTAAATGCGCATTAAAAAAAATTATCTCTATTGCGGCACGATTCGCGTGATTCATTCTGTATTGATATACATTTTGCAATTATGTATATAACGTTTTTAAAACCTATATACAAAAAAAGATATATTTTGTAAATTACAAATTTATTATCTATGTTGAGATTATTATAAATGAAAGAATATAATCTTAATATTTTATCGAATAAATAAAATCTTCAAAAAGTCAGATAAATCTTGATCTCGACAATGAGCTTATTAAATATCATTTGCTTAAAAATCATTCCGAAATTCAAGATTCCGATTCATATTATGTATGCATTCATGTGTAAAAACTTCATAATGTATTAGACACACGGGTTTACATATCCAATTGTGTTAATAAATGTTACAGTTTTTAGCGATCATTTATTTATCTTACTTTTATTTGATTCCTGGAAATCCTGATCAAAGAATATCCTGATGAGTGTGAGATAACTTGGCATGAATTGTGCATTATGTTCACAAGCAAAAACTGTGGCAAATTAAATACAATAAAATATAATAATGCAATACATAAAAAAATTATAATGCATCTAAAATTACTGCTTGCAAGTTTTAGATGCCAACGAAATATATGGATAGTAATGCTATACACATTTTTTTAATAATGTACAGCACTCTCTAGCATGCATTACATTCAACAAATGTTCCTACTTGCTGAACATCAATTTTATAGAAATATATAATAAGAGAGTCTCGTCTAATAAAATATATATTTTTATTATCGAAAGTATTTTTATTTGCATTGTGAGCAATCTTTTTTGCTACTTTTGCTTATTTTATAATTTTCTCTGAAGTTTTTATATATCGTACATGTAGATATGTGCTTCGTCTTTTTAAAAGTGTATAATATGTACCATTCACTCTCGTTATGCATGGCAACCGCCGTAGTGTGAGGGGGTAAGTCATTATTTGCATAATTATACAATTGATAATGCGAAATCAATCTCTCTCTCTCACACACACATTTATTTTTTATGTTATTATCATACATCAATTGTACTTAAAAGATTTTTGTGATGTACGTATGAAGCACATCTTTCTCAGATACAATCTATACATATGCGCCCTTTATTTACAGGATAATGAGGGTGTCGCGCAAAATATCTGCATCCTGAAAGAATTGGAGACAAAACTAAGCGACGCGGTAACGGGAGCGAAAAACGCCGTTAAGAATGAAAGTAATTTAGTGAAGAAATGCATTCTACGCCGCAGTGCCTCTCTTTATGCAGCGGTAAAGAGAATCAAGAGCAACAAGAAGCCTCGGCAAACACTTGCTCGTCGAGCATTGAAGAATCATTGTTCTAATAATGTAGAGAACAGCGCGATAATCTGCGCGGTCAAATCCAAAGTGGAAGCAAAAACCTTCCTAAAGACAATCGATCGCTATCGATCGAGTAAATCTAATGTAGAGTCAATGATCGGTGACAATCTCGAACCGCGTTTGAGCACGAGTAAGAGATTAACGAATAATTCGGCGAGGATGCATGTATCTTCCGAAAAAACAGCAGCGGTAAGACACGGTGCGAAAAGATTGAAGATCGTTTCGTCCACTAAAACATTCAAGGCTCTCCCTGAGATCAGAGAATCTAGCGTCATGGACGAAACTGATGCGAAAATGTCCTTGAAGATAACACGTGCTTACGAGAAACAGAATGCTAAAGGAGATAGGGCCAGACTTGGTGGACACATCAAACCAGATAAGTCCTTTAGACTGAAAGAAACAAATAAGACTGCTGTTAAAGAGAGTTCCATATTTGAAGAAGGTATGAAGCAAAATTCTAAATGAGCTTCAATGTTGAAAAAAAGTTGCTAACTTATTTCGTCATTGTTTTTCTGAGATGTTGTCTTTTCAGAAACATGTTTCCCATATTTGTAATATATATATAGGATGAGTTATGATGTAATCCCAACAAACAAGAAATACTTTCTTATAAAGAAGTCTAATAAAAAGTATACATAAGTAAATTTTTTATACATTCTGAATATAATATGCAAAATGTATAGTTAAATTTCTTATTTGTATTATACTTGATGATACAATGTATCATTGTACACTATTTTTAATGTTTCTTTTTTCGCAAAGTGATATATATTTATTTGCCTTTTTAATTAAAAGGCAATAAAACTGTGAAATTGCCATATAAATGTATATATCATGTTATTACATATATATTAGACACAAAATGCTATGTCAATTAATCATATATAATGATATTTATTATTTATATACTAAGTATCCATTTTTTCTCTAATTTTCCATACAATTATCTTTAAAACTAATGCTTAGCCCAAAAACTTGTCACAAATTAAAGTTATTCGTTTATTTTAAAAAAGATATATCATATAAATCTTTACTCATTCGTTAATTCTCGTTAATAATCCACAACTAAAAAACGTCACTTTATTAATTAATAATGCATGACAATTATTAATAAAAAAATATATACAGGGTGTCTCAAAACATCCTTGACAACGCTCGTGAGCAAGTAGAGCATAGTAAACTGAACAGAAAAGTTCTGTAATATTTTTTTCTACATTTTTTCTCTAATTTTCCATACAATTATCTTTAAAACTAATGCTTAGCCCAAAAACTTGTCACAAATTAAAGTTATTCGTTTATTTTAAAAAAGATATATCTTAAGGTCAGCATAGTTCTCTTTTACCATATTCAAAAGTTGATTTATATCGTGTAAACATTTTTTAATTTGGATTATTTTTATATCAGTTTCCTAGATAATTGTATATGTAGAAGAATAATACTTCATATAATAAAATATTCTGTTATCAGTATTCTATTTGAATATGAAGAAGGATGTACTTTTCTATATCTCCCTCTCATAATATTCTAATTTTATATAAAACGATAAACAAAAATGTTTCTCACGAGCGTTGTCAAGGGTGCTTTGGGACACCCTGTATATAACATGAGAAGGGAGAAATTAAATATAAAAAAAAAGAAAAATATTTTTAACGAAAAAATTCTAAAAAAGAAAAGCTATAGTGAAATTTTTTTGATATATATATATAAGTTACGCAATTTAATATGGAAAGAAATATTTATATGTAAGAAATCTGATAGAATAAATTATATTTTATTTTTTTTACATATGATGATCAGTAATAATATTTTGAATTAAATTCTATGCTATTTTGTTGTAAGAAAAGAAATTAGCAATGCAAGTAATTGTATTTTGAAAACAAAAGTGCTGTGTGTTTTATATATATGAAATCTAAAAATCTTAATATAATGTATAACTATATACTTTGTTTATGTATAATGTTTATTTTTGTTTATATTATCAAAAGTTGAAATTGAAATTTATTCTATGTTCGAAGAATTTAATTCTAACTTTCTGTGTCGATTCCAATAATTTCAGTTTTTTATTTAACAACAGTATATTGTGATATATTGATATATATTATGCTAAAATTTAAAAAAGTATAATAAAATATATATGTTTCAATATAAAACGGATGATATATTTATATTTTTTCAAAGTTTCCCAATATTATGTGTCGATACTAATTGTCAGGATCACTTTTAATTATTAATTAACTTACAGACCGATAACAAAATTTCAAAATCTATATTATATTACATACTAAAATTATATTGTTAAAAATTTTTTATGTTGCATTGTAAGTTAATCAACGATTAAGTTAATCCAAGTTTGATTGAAGTAGTTTTAAATCTATTTATTGAATTATGTTGAAGTTTGATTTTTTTATTTAAAAAAAATGTATTAACGCCGCCGTTCGCCGCCGCCGCCGATAAATTATATCATTCGCCGATTCCGCCGCCGCCAAAAAAGTAAATTTTCGGCGAACTCGCCGCCGCCAAGATATTTTACCTCTAATGCCGCCGCCGATTTGAAATATAACGGCGCAGGGGTCTACTCGTCGGTGACCGTGGTTTACATACACAGGTTTGTTTTGCTTTCTTATTGTACCTCATATGTATGTTGCAGTATTGTGATATTTAACAAGCAGGCATTACGAATTAGGGATTTAAAATGGAAGAACCAACGGCAAAGAGAATTCGTAAAACTTCTACCGGATTCGAAAATAACACAGTGGAAAGCTATGAAAATCCAATGGATTCGAATATTTACCTAAACTATGACATTTTGAGAATTGTCTTTAGGTATTTAAATGTTAAGGAATTAGAAAGAGCCGCGATGGTTTGCAGGTATAACGATCGTAACATGTTAATGATTTGCATTCAATTTAATCCTAAATACATGATCAGAATTCTATATCCAAAAAAAATTAAAAAGAATTAAGTACAAATGCAGATTCGATTTATAAATAAATCTGTAAAGCATTTTATGTCATTTATTTTAAAATGTATACACTTAAATTCACAAATTTTATACGTAAATTTATTAGCAGTTATATTTAACATCATTTTATTACAATCTGCTAAATTGTAAATAAAAAGCACATTATATTACAAACTGATACTAATATATAGTATGAACTCCAATGTACAATTTTTCTTTATAGGTTCTGGTTAAAAGCTGCAAATCATGAAAAATACACAAGAGGTCCTGATTGTTTTATAGAACATCACCTACATTTTACAGATAAAACACGTTTTATCGAAAAATCAAGGATTAAACCAACTATAGGATTTTTTTTTATACCGTACAAAACACTGTATGGTATACATGGTATGTATACGCTTTTTAATAAGCGAATTCATCCTAATTAATTTATTGATATTTATCATAATGTTTATGGATAGCATAACTATTATATATAATATATTCAGTATAGAGATGAATGAAAAAAATAAATAAATAAAAATAATAAATAATAGGTCCATACGATTAAATCAACAAACGTTAAAAAAAAAGACAGATGAACCAGGCGCAGTAAAAAAAATAATTTATAAAAATATCTTTAATAAATTTACCATCACCTGTAAATATTTCTTATATATGAAATTTTGGGTCTTTACTTGGATTATTCTTAATTATTCAAATTTTTAGTGGATTTTTCCTATCTATACACTATTGCCCCAATACAAATTTTGCTTTCTTCAGAATTATTCATATTATTCAAAATGTAAAATTAGGATGATTAATTCATAATATTCATATTAATGGAGCATCAATATTTTTTATTTGTATATATTTACATATCAGACGAGGATTATATTATAACTCATATAAACTAACTAATACTTGATTAATTGGGATATCAATTTATCTTCTATCAATGGCTACTGCTTTTTTAGGATATGTCCTTCCCTTAGGCCAAATATCATTTTGAGGAGCAACTGTAATTACTAATTTAGTATCTACAATTCCTTATATTGGTAATTTAATAGTACAATGAATTTGAGGAGGATTCTCAATCAATAATGCTACATTAAATCGATTTTATTCAATTCATTTTATTCTCCCATTTATTATTATTATAATAGTAATATTACATTTATTTTTTCTGCATAATACAGGCTCATTAAATCCACTAGGTGTTAATAGAAATTTATATAAAATCCCCTTTCATATTTACTTTTCAATCAAAGATATTTTAGGATTTACAATCTTTCTTTTTTTATTCTGATGAATTAATCTTGAATATCCATACATATTTAGAGACCCAGATAATTTTATTCCTGCAAATCCAATAATAACTCCTATTCATATCCAACCAGAATGATATTTTTTATTCGCATATGCAATTTTACGATCTATCCCTAATAAATTAGGTGGTGTAATTGCTTTATTATCATCAATTATTATCCTATACTTTTTACCTTTGATTAACTCTAAACTTAATTCATTCATATTTTATCCAATTAATCAGTCAAAAAGTTAAAATAGAATAGCAGTTAAAAAGTTAAAATAGAAATTATATATGAAATTAGTAACTAAATCTCGCTTCTAATAATTAAATAATATTTAAATAATCTATATTTTTTATTTTTTTTTATTTTTTTATAAGAACTGATAATAAAAATACTACCATCAAATTGCAGTGCCGTAATGCTTTATACTTTCGGCACAATTATAAATGAAAGACTAGAACTAAGTGATGATACAAGAGTTGATGATACAGAATTTCGAAACATAGTATGTGCACTTTTGCCAGAAATTGCAGATGTGAAAATCAATAGCTTAATTCTATGTACAGAATATAAGCAGCCAGGCAGTTTATTAGTTCCGTCTGAGCTTTTATTAGAATTCCAAAATCATGTAAGGAAACTTATTGATATGATAAAAGAAACACCTATCCCAAATCAGGACGAGTCTACGTGTTTCATATACTTATGTAATGACTTGTGTAATGAATTTATTCATTTGTCAAAACCTTTGCTCAAGGCTGTGCAAGAATACAGGTAATTTAAATATAAATTATCAACAATTTTATACATTGTATATTAGATTGATGCAAAAGTTCGTCTCGTTTTTTGTTTTATGTTTTTAGTAGTAAAAAAACGGGGTGACGAACTTTTGCATCAACCTAATGAAAAATAATATATAACAGATATTGGATGACATGATATTGGATAACATAAATTCTTTTTGCTTATAGTGGAATAGATAGAATAACTTCTGTATGGGGTGGTGTAATGAAGTGGCCTCTATCAACTGCATGTTTTAGAGTTGTTCTAATTACTGGTTCGATACAATCATGGTCTGTAGTTGTAGACGGAAGATACACAACAGAGGAGCAAGTTACAAAAAAATTAAGATTATTTAAGAACCAAGTAAAATTAAAGAAACATTCCGTGGGATTTATATTCTCATGTTTGGACCGTAAAAATGTGCTCGAAAAACCAGACTCAACGATATTCAAGACATTATTTCCCGAAGTATCGCTGGTTGGTTGTTTTGACGACAAGGCGGTCGGAAAAAATACAATGGACCACGAAAGTAAATAAATATAAAATGAAAAGCTTTAATATTAAATATCTAAGTAAGAAATAGTGGACTAATTAAGAGCCTGGCGCGGTAAATGATGCGCGAATTAATTTTTATATATGTTTCTTATTTCTTATGAACATTACGGTTCTATTTTTGGACCATCTTCAGCAACTCAATATCAATCGTTTTTCTTGTTTTTTATGCATCTATCCGTGACCCTTAGTAACCATACACAAAAATGAAGAGACGAAATTGAACAGTTGCGTCCCGCAGTGTTGTGATCCGCGGTACCTTGTTTCGACGGAAGATATGTCGATTTATGCAGTTTCCAAAAAAACATGACCAAATAAATGCTTCCTTTGTGGCTGAAACCGGAGGGAGGCTCATCATTTTTATGCATGGTTACTGAGGGTCATGAATAGATGCATAAAAAACAAGAAAACCGATTAATATTAACAGTTGCTTAAGATAGTCCAAAAATAGGACCGAAACGTACATAATAAACAAGAAACATATATAAAAATTAATTCACGCATCATTTATCGCGCCAGGCTCTTAATTAGCCCATTATTTCTTACTTAAAAGTGAGCAACTTTCTAATTTCTTTCTCGATAATAAAATGTTGTTTCTCGAAAAAGCATATAGTTTTTATTTGGTTTCAGTGGGGAGCAGAAGGGACTGGGAGATCGACGAACAGACGACCACATTTATGCTACTTACGTACGGTTGATGCTTTGAAAGAAGATGCGTATGGATGTTTGTACTACGATTATTTTTTGTCGATTATTTTTTCATTTGCGCGTTGTTAAATTTTAACTAGATCTCTCTCTTTCTTTCTCTATCGCACTGGTCTTTTTCTCATTTATAATTATACATAAACAATGGCGCTTACATTCATAAAGTAAAAACATACAGCATGATGAATCTTATCTCTATAGCAATAAATCTAAATATAGAGATCATACTTTATTTTTAAATGCGTTCTATGAGTGTTTTGTACAAGTTCTAATAGACGTCGCTGTCGGAAGATTAAATGTAATAATATATTATTGTTCGTATACTATGAGCACATATTTTGTATTTTGTTGTATTACATATTTTATTTATTCCGTTTTTATTACGTTTTGTGATATGCATGTTATAAACGATTATATGCGTATTATACCGGACGGATGATCCAATGTAATCTGCCTTGATTAAAGTACGTATATCAGAAAACGCAAATGCAAATACTCCAATATACCGAGTTGTTATTTTAAGATTAAAAATATTAGCACTTTTACCAGAGTTTTTACATATATCTTTGTGGTAAAAAAGCAGAGTAATTTTTTATTACATTTTAACTTGCAAATAATAATGCTCCTTTTGAATCTTCTTCACGTTGCCATCGACAGTTACGAAATCCTTGGACATTCTGTTAAATATGTCATTCACCGTGTGGAGAGACAGCTATCGTTTATCGACATCCTTTTTCTTATTATTTATTACAAATTCTTTACTTTCATACATATATATTACCCTAAGCACCGGTCAATATGGTTGTGTTCAATCGCACCAATTAATCTTTTGCTCTTATGGGAAAGTTGTAAGTGGGTATTTCTTTGTGTTTCGAAGTGTTTAATGGCTTCTTATGATTTATTTCTTCAAAATAAAATAAGGGTATACATAGTACATATATACATAGTACATAATTTTTAATGTTGAAAAGAGAGAAAAGTAAAGATGAAAAATGAAAAGTACAGAGAGTTTATTCGACGCTTTATGGTAAGTAAAACCACAATTTTTAAAAGTTAAAATTGTCCCATTACTTTTATTACGATTAAAATTGCAAAATTGCATGTCATTGTTGGAGATAGTTCATAGAAATCATCATACCAAATAATGAAGAGATAATACAGAGAAGATAAGAAAAGAGAATCCATTAAGTTAATATCTAAAATAATGGAAATTCAAACATTTATATTCTACGATTTGGAAACAACTGGTTTGATTCAAGGAAAGATCATGCCAAGAATCACGGAAATTGCTTTAGTTGCTGTTACAAGAGAGTCGATATGTAATTGCAACAAAGCATCTTTGCCGCGAGTCTTGCATAAGCTAATACTTCCGATCAATCCCCAAAAAATCATACCACCAACTGTAGCATATATGACAAGTAAGTTGCTTTATTAGCTTAAATTGATTAATACATAAATAAAATTGAAGAGAATCTAAATTAAGAAAATTTTATAATATAATGATATAATAATCTCTCATAAATTTGTAGAATTATTTAACGAGGACATGTTGCTACTGCAGCCTTTTGAGTGTGAAGTTTATGAGTTAATAATGTGCTTTCTACAGCGTCTCACACCACCAATTTGTTTTGCAGCACATAACGGCAACAGATTCGATTATCCGATATTCTTGCATGAACTCGAGTGCATAAATAAGGTATAATTTATTTTTAAGGTGATCAGTTATTTATTTCTCTATTTATTCAATAACAATTAATTTTTTGCCATTAAAGGTTTTTGACGACAAAATTCTGTGCATTGATACATGGAAGATGTTTCAAGATTTCTTTAAGAAAAAAGATTTGGAACCAAAGACAGTCCAAGATTTATTGGATGATGAGTACAATGATTCGCTCTCCATGTTGGATATAGATGTAGTAATAATGGAACAAAAGACTAAAATTAATGCCATGCCCATTTCGCAAGCGATGCCTCCCTATAACGAATATATCAAAGTTATAAACGATAAGAAAAACGATACAAACAAGGAGTATAACGATGACATCGATGTCGAATCGCCGGAGGATTTTAGACAAAAAGCTAACGAAAAAACGCCAGAGAATCAAGTAATGAGGCAGCATGAGACTGTTCTTGTAGAAAGACCATTTAAAAAAAATAATCCAAGGAAGAAATTGGATTTTGGTTGCGAAAGACCAGTCAGCCTTAAACTCGGCGCCATTTATGAATATATGTTTGATTCAAATTTTCCTCACGAACATTCGGCCGAGGCCGATTGTCTCGCCATGATACGTTGCATCACCAATATTGTCGACTTCTTTCTTGAGTGGTCAGATAATAATGCAACTCCATTGGTTTGCTGTAAAAAAATATAGTGCAATATTAATTGATATTTTAGACAATAAAAATGATATACAAACAAATGAAAAATGATACAGAATTATGCAGTACAAAGGGGATATATGTGATTATTATGAATTAAGAGTTTAAAAAAATACATTGTAAATAATTACATACTTTTTCTTAAAAATAATTATTTTTTTTCGTTTTCGAGATATTTGACCATTTCCAGACTTTTCTAACCCTGTATATATATATATATATAAAGATAACTTACGTACACATAACATTCGCGACCATAGTTTTAATAACTTCCTAAGAAGAAAAGGAACGATTTGAAATGTATCATACTTACCAGACTCGAGTTCAGATTCCGATGATTCTAATGATTCTGAATTGGATTGATCACTTAAAGATTGCAAGATTTTAAGTTCACTTTTATTTACTGCAATAAAAAATTTAACCAAAATTATATTATTACAATATTAATATTTGTATTTTGGTAAATAAATAATAAAAATAATCAATTTTCTAATCGCCAGATTTTGTATAAATGTATATTGTATGTGTGCGTATGTGTGTGTGTGTGTGTATGTGTGGCTCTATGTGTATATACTTATATTTCGTTAAAAAATAAATACTCACAGATATATCTTGCTATTGCATATTTATCATTTGCGATAGTTTTCTCGATAGTTTGTATAATGTGATTTATTCTTCCTGTCATACTTCTCATTTCATCACGCCCAACATGTTCCAACAAATTAAGATCTTCGTCCCAATAGTATCTTATGCTACGTTTGTGAAAAGCTTCGTGAAGCTTTTGTAACATCTACAAATTTATCGTTATTTTATAACTAATTTAACAAAGGAAAAATTTTGAATTTTAGCAATATATTGCCGTAAAGAACAAAGAAGTAAATGATTGTCTGTTCGAAATCCGAAAAATATCCAATTCGTTCAAACATAATGTTTCGATATAATAGCTTGCGATGTTCCAGTTTTGTGTATCTCTTAGTTTCTGAGAGAATGCAATTAATAATCATATAAAAAAATTAATTTGAAATATAATTGCAAAAAAATATAAAAAAAGAATATTTTTGAATTAATTTACAATCTAGAATTTGTTATCCTTTTCTCTATGAAAGGAGCTATAGAGTTTCTATGTAAAATTTTTAAGTATATAAAAAATTTTGATAAAGTAAAAAAATTAAATCTTAATAAATTTGCTAATGATGTAAAAATAGACCAATCAATTAAAATATTATTTGAGGAAAGTTAAAGAAAGAGAAATTATTTTGATAAATAATTTAGATTTATATATGTATCATGATTCCAAAAATATATATATCATATTATACAATATAAAAATAATTATATATATATATA